ATAAATAAATAAATATATTATATATACAAAAATATCTCAGTCTATCTGTATATGTGGCACTCGCTGAGGCACTGGACCGTGGACGGGCGAAAGCTGAGGGGCAACGAGAAGCAAACAGCAGCTCGGCAGATCCCGGCGCTGCATACTGCGATGGCGAATTCCTTTCACTCCCAGGATAGGGGTAGATCATGGCTGAAACTCCCTGTGCAGACTGAGGTCTCGCCGCCGTTTGAGCTTTCTTTCGGACCCAAGTATCCGGCAGTCACGTCTCGTGAGCTGCAGATAGTATTGAAGGTCTTTGTTTCAGAAGCTTGGTGATAGTATCTTGAGGAGGCACGAATCTTGGAAGCTTGGGATGCTTAATCGCGAATTTGCTGGAATTCTTCGTCTTTGGTGGAAGAGCCTACATGCACTCAGAATTTGTCCTGCCACTACAGTGCTGAAAGCAAGAGTAAGGTTCAAGATGATGATCTACCCGGAGATGCTCAACGAAGGCAAGGGCGGCTGCTGCTTCAGGCCGCGGCGATCCGCTCGAATGCTCTCCGAAGTCAGCTTCCCGCGCTCAACCTGTAAGCAGTGTAGCTGAAAAACCGCAACGCTGGAGCAGTTTCGAACCTGCACTCATCGGGATACGTAGAGTTGCCCATGCGAAGACCCTTTGGCCAGGAAGTCGAAAGGCAGAGGATGCTTCGTTGCACTGGAATACGGGGAGCTAAAGCATCTAAAGCTGGGGCAGTGGTGGACGGGAGCTTCCTTATTTCCGATTCGTCGGCAGAGCACCGCATGCTCCTGAGGCTACGTGCAGATCAAGTGCGAGGCGGAGCTGGAGGAGTCGGTCGCGTCCCTCTGCTGCACGCATGGCCGCTGCGGGCCGCTTCGGTGCTATGTATGGGCTTGGGGTACTTGGGTGGTGGGGTTTCTCTTCAAAGGTTTGGGAGGCTTCCGAGTACGAGCGATTTCCAGCACTGTCGTGCTCTGTCGTGCGCATGTGATGCTTGCAGGTGGGTCTCCTTCCGGATCTCCATTGGCAGCGGCAACAAGACCGCCGCTGTTCAAGGGATGGCTTCAAAAGGTTGCCCTCTCGTAGACATCCAACGCGTGTAGCTTTCGAAGTCGTAAAGTTGTCGGTTGCGTGGTTGCTTCTTGTGCCTGAAGTTACCGAAGCTTCAATGTGTTTCATGGCGACAGTTCAAGCTGACCTGCTCCGACTCCGGCCCTTTGCAACATCTGGACCTTGGCACAGTCAGGTCGGTCCTCGGGGACCTCGCTACCACAACTTCTCCCAAAGCGCCGTCACCGGCCTCGAGGATGTCCTACAGAGGGGGTTCCTCGCAATCGGACCTGAAACGTTTGGAGCAGCAGAAAGTGGCTTCGAATGTTGTCGGAGCGTTGCCCGGAAACCAAGAAAGCGCTCGAGCCACAGCAAAGCCCTGAAATCAGGAGGGGCGCACGAAGGACGAGCACATCTGGGACTTTACAGTATCTCAGCATCAGCAAGTTTTGAGCTGGGTAGTTCCAGGACTGTTTTGGGCCCAGGGTTGAAGAGAACGCTCCAAACAGCCCCCACCCAGAGACCCGCCTCTACCTGCAAATTGAGCGATTCTTTGTTTGTTGGTTTCTTCTTTCACATTTTACGTGCAGACTGCAGACATCTCAAGCTCAATTGCCCGAAGCTACCGCTTTGTTGTGACCGCTTCAATGCTGCAGACCTCAAGCCACTTTCCCTTCCAACAGCATGAGGAAGTCCTGGATGAGGCATCCCAAACATTCGCTACTCAGTCGCACATTGCCGCAGCATTGAGTCTTAAGCCTTAAGCCTTGCACGTGCCCTGAACGCGGGGCTGAAGTTAAGCTCGGAGCACACGGCGGTTGGGGCGACTATATCACAACCCTTACAAGAGCTTGGTTCTTCTGGATATGAGCGCTCATGTGGTCAGGCTGCCTGCAATCTAACCGAGGTGGTTTGCCTTGAGATTGTCCCTGGAGGCAGAGGTCCTCCGGGCAAGTGAGTCGAGGCCCGAGAGACGCCTTCCGCAAGACTATCTCCTTGGATGGCTTTTACGGTTTGCGCCACTTCTGCTAAGCCTTTTTGCAAAGGCTCCTCGAGCTTGGGGCGACTGAGCTGCGCCCACAGTCTGCAGAAAAAAGCAGGTGGCATGCTGGGAGCGTCAGCATCACACGGAGCGGGAAGACACCCTGGCATGGGATCTTCGGAAAAGCCATGCAAATGGGATATATATATATGTATATATAT